CACACGGTACAGCAACAGGTCCTTGACAATCCAGATTTCGAACACTGCACACCCTTTGAAATCAGAGGCATCATACACTCCCTAAAAACTCGAAAAGCCCATGGCAGTGACGGTATCTCCAATAGCGTCCTAAAAATCCTCCCTCAAAAATTCATCACGGCGATTTGCAACATCACCAACGCCGTGATGCGCCTTCGTTATTTTCCGATTGCGTGGAAGGTGGCTACGGTCATCTGCCTCCCGAAGCCGGGAAAACCCCTCAGCAACCTCGCGAGCCACAGACCCATTAGCCTACTCTCATCGCCCAGTTAAATCACTGAAAGCGTCATTCTTACCCATCCAAATAAGCAAGCCATGGAAAATAACATCCTTCCAGACGTGCAGTACGGTTTTAGAACCAGACATTCGGCCGCACACCAGCTTCTGGGAGTTACCGAAGACCTCTCCGATAGCCTTATCTACAAAAACTTCACCGCGATAGCTTTTCTAGGCATACAGCAGGCCTTCAGCCAAGTTTGGCACGAGGGCTTCCTGTATAAGCTTATTCAGTTAGGTTTTCCGCATTACCTTATCGGCACCGTCAAATCCTACCTATCTGACAGATTCATCCACGTTAAAGTAGGCGACTCTCTTTCCAACCCCCGCCCAATAACTTCTGGAGTCATATCTCCCAAGGCTCCAAACTATCACCCACCCTTTTTAACATTTTTTACAATGACCTGCCCCAGCGCAAAAACATCAACACGTACGTCTACGCAAACCACGTCGCAGTCAGCTGCACGTCAAAACAACACTCTCGGTGCACCACCTTTCTTAACGAGCACATCATCACTCTCCATAACTGGTATAGTCTTTGGAAACTGGTTGTGATTGAGGCAAAGACTATAGCCATGCTCGTCTCCTGGAAAAATCCAAGAAAGAAACTGCACAAGATAAAGGTCAACGAAGTAGAAATCGACTGGAGCTACTCCGCCAAGCACTTCGGCGTAACGCTAGACCGTCGATTCACGAACGTTCGGCACATCAACAGCACCCGCGGTGAAGCATACGGAGCCTTCGTGCAACTAAAGCCTTTCTTCAACAACAAAGCAGTCTCCCAGAAGACCAAGCTGCGCACTTTCAACGCCATAATCAAGAGCATCAGCACCTACGCGATACCAACGTTGGCGCTGCAAAAGGAAACCGTCTACAGGGCATCCAGGGCCCTTTCATGAAGATACTGAGGTCGGTCCTGGGTATTCCGTGGTACATCAGAAATACCCAGATTATGAAGGAGTTCAACATCGTCCCTCCAATACAAGCAGCCCCTGTCCTTGCGTAAAAAATCCACGCCTCTATTACGGAACACCCCAACCCCACCATCGCTGCACTTGCGAACCTTCAAGCCGGTCGCTTTGACCTTGTAAGACGTCCCTGCGCTCTAGCACAGAACCCCGAGGACCCTCAATACACTCTAGGTCTTCAATCCCCCCTACTTCCATCGGATGCATCATCTCCATCTCCATGATCTCGACGTAACGAACGCAACTTCAATTCGTACGCTCCCTTCAGGAGCACCCTTCTATCCACCGTATCCTCTAAGGCCTCAACACTTACACTAAGCACAAGTACGCTTCCGAATACACAATACCCAGCGGACTCACANCTTCCATCGGATGCATCATCTCCATCTCCATGATCTCGACGTAACGAACGCAACTTCAATTCGTACGCTCCCTTCAGGAGCACCCTTCTATCCACCGTATCCTCTAAGGCCTCAACACTTACACTAAGCACAAGTACGCTTCCGAATACACAATACCCAGCGGACTCACACATCTACACACACACATACAATAACACAAAATCCGAGCTTCTCTAACTCTATTCCGGCGCAAGCCAAGATTCGAGTTTCACCTAGATGCGTAAGTGCCCCCTCCTCTCATCTCTTCGAGAGCGAGTCGGCCTCCGAAATTCTCCATTATTTTCCTTCTTCTTTCTCCTCTTATGACCTTTTGTCTTCTAGGAGAGTGGTCCTCACGGACCTGTCCCATGCGGGGAGGTTAGTTTTTAGTCGGTAGGCACACCCGGTAAATCCGACACTACCACCGGATTAGCTGGGGTGTCTATGAAGATTTTTTCCTCCCCACTCCATCAAACAAAAAAAAAAAAAAAAAAGAATTAGTCAATCTTATCGGCCTTTTTCAGGGCCATTTAACGTTGAACAACTGCCAAAGTATAGATTATAATTGACAAAGTTTACAAAACACAGCCCTTTTTAGGGCACGCAAAAACTTTTAATAATGCCTCGAATCGCAAGAGGGCGAATCGGGAGGAAAACTGTTAATGCTTTAAATGCTTACAACTTTAGGAGTCGAGAAACTGATGCAGAACATTCATCAAGAGTAGAACAGCAGCGGCAAAATCGACGACTGAATAATTATTTAGATGACAGATCCGCTTTCTAGCACAATCCTGACATTGATTACTTAAATCTTCCATCAATTCAAATTGGCAAAATGATTTCTATTTGCACTCATTGTGGCGCTAAAAAATGGAGAGATGATGCTCCAGGAATCTGTTGTTCTGGTGGTAAAGTTTCGCTAGATCCATTAGAAAATCCTCCTCAATTGGTAAGATGTCTGGTAATGGATGAATACCCCCTATCAAAACATTTCCTTGATAACGTCAGACGTTACAATACGCAATTCCAAATGAAATCATTTGGAGGGAAAGAGATCAGAAAAGGAAACTTTATGCCAACTTTTAAAATCCAAAGTCAAGTATACCACTTACTAGGTAGGTTACTTCCTAAACAAAACAAAAGTCCATAGTGCTTACAATTCTATTTCATGTCTAAAGCAGAACAAATTTTTATTCGGTCAGATAATGCCCTAAAAAAAACTTTGATCGAATCATTACAAAAAATTATGCATGATTACAATTTTCTTATAAGAACTTTTAAATCCAATTATGACTCTCGAACAGTAGATGAACTTGAAAACTTGAAATTAATTATTTATGCCGACCGAACCCCTGTTGGAGAGCATCGAGGACGATACAATGCACCTAGAGTGAATGAAGTTGCTGCTCTAATAGTTAATTAGGAAAAAGGCCCTAGAGGCATTATTCTACATGGTCAACATGAGCGGTTGAAGCGAGTTTCTGAGCTCCACCGATTCTATGACTCCTTACAATATCCTGTTATGTTTGTTTTCGGAAAAAATGGATATTCTATTAATATACCACTTCACGGTCTTCCAAACAAAACTGTTTCTTGCATGCAATTCTACTCTTATAGATTTATGTAAAAAAGTGATCATATAAATTACCTACTTTATTATAAGAACTTACTCAATCAATTTGCTGTTGATATTATGGCAAAAATGATCACACAGCGTTTACTTTACTTGCGAACACGTACATCAAAAACAACTGCGTGCTGAAAGTTACATTCATCTACGAGATGCAATAAATAATAATCGTAACATTGAACCCTCGAGTATCGGACAGCCTGTAATTTTATCATCCTCATTCACTGGCTCACCGCGATATATGCATGAAAAAACTCAAGATGCAATGGCTTACGTACGTGGGTTTGGGCGTCCATGTTTATTTATCACTTTCACGTGTAACCCTGAGTGGTTGGAAATAAAAAATAAATTACACAAAAATCAAAAACCTTCAGACAGGCATGACATTGTTTCAAGGGTTTTTCACTTGAAATTAAGGAAACTTATAGATGTCCTCACTAAGAAAGCAATATACGGCGAAGTTGATGCTTGGATCTATAGTGTCGAATGGCAAAAATGAGGGATACCTCATGTGCACATACTTTTATGGCTTAAAACAGAAATTCAGCCGGATGAAATAGACAAGATCATTTCAGCTGAATTACCAGATCCTCAACAAGATCCCTTGCTATTCAGTATCATTTCGAAAAGTATGATTGATAGACCTTGCGACGGATTCAACATGGCTTCACCATGTATGAATAATGGAAAATGTACAAAAAAGTTTCCTCGAAATTTTGTTGAAGAAACCCTAACTTCAGATGAAAGCTACCCGACCTATCGTAGAAAAATACCCTGCAGGTAGAGGTCATAGTTCTATACTTACAATTCGTGGCAAAGAAGTACAGATTGATAACCGTTGGGTTGTACCGTACTCAACCATCTTATCACAATGTTTCAATGCACACATTAACGTTGAATTTTGTCATTCAGTGCAAGCAATTAACTATATTTGCAAACATATTAACAAAGGATCGGATCGTGCCACTTTTGCAGTTGGAAATATTAACGAAATTAAAAACTATGCCAATGGAGGCTATATTTGTTTTCCTGAGGGATTTTGGCGTATTTTTAATTTTGAGATTCACGCACGGTATCCTACGGTGTGGCATTTAGATGTCCACCTTGAAAATTATCAAAGAGTTTACATAAACCAGCAAAACATTCAACAGATTCTCGAAAATCCGATAAAAACAACGTTGATGGCATTTTTTAAACTCTGCGTAATAGATAATTTTGCTAAAACTCCTTTGTATTCCAAAGTTTCCGCCTATTACCGATGGGACAGTAATAAATTTGTAAAAAGAAAGCAGGGAAAAGATGTTCCAGGCTGGCCAGGAGTAAAAAAAGATTCAGCTATAGGTAGAGTTCATACGATTCATCCCACCCAGTCGGAGTGCTTTCATCTGCGAATGTTATTCCAATACGTTCGGGGCTCAACTTTATTTGAGTACTTAAACCCGTTGATGGTGTTATGCAACTTTTAAAGCTGCCTGTTACGCACTCGGTTTATTGGAAAATGATAATCAATGGAAAAAAACACTTGCAGATACTGCTTTGTCTGAGAATCCATCTTAATTATGTGACTTATTTACAATTATTTTAGTTTTTTGTGAGCCATCGCAACCTCAAATTTTGTGGAATATGTTTAAACAACAATTATGCGAAGATATTTTTTACTCTCGACGAATTCAACTTAACGATTTTGGAGTTGAATACTCTGAAGAAATGTTTAACAGCGGTTTAATTGAAGTTGAAGACAAGATCATCTCTCTTTCAGAAAAAAATCTGACTTCATTTGGGCTAAATTCACCGGTTCGAGATGAACTCTGTACTAAAGATTCTTTTGAACATTCCATCAGAAATGGTTATGATTATAACTATTTATTTAACTACGTTGAGCAAAATCTTCCAAAGTTGGTTCCAGACCAACGACAAGCTTTTAATCGTATAATTGATAGTGTCTTAAATAGTTGTGGAAAAGTCTTTTTCCTGGATGCTCTTGGAGGCCCTGGAAAAACATTCTTAATTAATCTTATGTTGACCCAAGCAAGATCGGCTGAAAAACTGTCCCTTGCTGTCGCATCTTCTGGCGTTGCTGCCACTCTCGTGAGTGGAGGTAGAACAGCTCACTCCACTTTTAAACTTCCATTATATGTTTTTTCTGGAGAAGATTACACGTGCCCGATACGCAAAAATGGTCCACTTGCAAAAATTCTTCAAGATACAAAATTTATTGTATGGGATGAGTGCATAATGAGTCACAGAGCTCACATTGAAGCAATTAATAGAACATAGCAAGATTTAAGATCAAACCAGAATTTAATGGGTGGCATTACATTTGTTTTTGCTGGTGATTTTAGGCAGACGTTACCAGTAATTCCGAGAGGAACTAAAACTAATAATATTCATACCTGTTTAAAATCATCATTTCTCTGGCATTATGTAGAGTCTCTACATTTACGTACTAATATGAGAGCACATCTCTGTGGACGAAACACGGAATTTCCAACACAGCTATTAAAAATTGGCGATGGCACGATGGAAAATGAAAACGGTTTTATCACCCTAGATCAATCCATTGGAAAACTGGCTATAACTGTCGATAATTTTATTTCTGAAGTTTACCCAGACATTGAAAATTTATCGAACAAATCATACCAATGATCATGTAAGAGAGCGATAATTTCACCGAGAAATTCAACAGCAAAGGAAATTAAGAACATTATTCTTCAAAAGTTTGTAGCTGATTCTCGAAAGTACTTCTCTTTTGATTCAGTCATCTCATCTGAAGATGTTAATTATCCTTTTCAGTTCAAGCGTTTACAGCTTACAGTTTCCTGTCAAAGTTTCTTTTGCCATGACAATTAACAAGTCACAAGGACAGACTTATAATTTTGTGAGGGTAGATTTAAGATCAAACTGCTTTTTACATGGACAATTGTGTGTCGGGCTTTGAAGAACTGGTGATCCACATCATTAGATTGTTTTAATTCCTTCTGGAAATAAAACTAAAAATGTCACATATACTGAAATTTTGTGAATGAAAAAATAATTTTAAATTATGCATTTGTTTCTTTATAGCTTTAACAAATACCCCTTTGTTATATCATAACGTTAATATGTAAAAATCAACGGCCCTTTTCAGGGCCAATACCTATTTTATGACGTAGGAAATGCACGATACTTTTTACCATCATATTTTCCCTTTTTTCGATATTTTCAATAAAAAGTTATTTGTTCCAAAAAGTGTCAAAAATAGATGTGAAGTTTTTTAACTGAAAACGTCCTATATTATTTGTCAACACACATGTGTTTTATTCAGCGAGTCTCGGGCGAGGCCGAGACGGGGGGCGGCTAGTACCTGAAATACATACATATCAAAAATAGTAAAACGTTAAAAAAACTTGGATCCTTGTAGCTCAAGTTCTGAGGAACAAAATAAGCCCAAAAACGTTTAATTTAAGTAAAAATTCATTGGAAGCACGAATTTGGAGAATTTTTCGGGGTTTCTGGACCACTGTGCGCCGTTTTACTGCCAAGCTTGAACCAATTTTGGCTGCATAGGTATGCAGCACAAAAACGTTGAAAACAATGTCTGCGCATGCTTTGCAAGAATTTTTCTGTGTATATCTATATATTATATAGGTATGAAAACAAATCCTGGTAGTTTTAAACACGCTGTTTGCTAAAAGGCAACACAAGCGCCTATCACAGGATAACCTGGGGCACTTACTAGCCACTTTATTAAATAAATAATTATTAACTAAGAACACGAGCGCCTATGACCTGATGACCCGTCGCGCTTATTGGCCACTCTGTTGAATAATAAATTATTAACTTATAACAGAAGCGCCTACTACCCAATGACATGGGGAGCTTACTGGCCACTCTATTAAATAAATAATTATGAATTAATAACACAAGCGCCTCTGACCCGATGACCTGAAGAGCTTACTGGTCTTTCTATTAGATAAATAATTATTAACTAATAACACAAGTGCCTATCATCCGATGATCCTGGGTACTTATTGGCCACATTATTTTATAATAAAATTTTAATTGATACCACACATCAGCAATCCAGTATTTTGATTAATTGTCCAATACGTCAAACATCTTTGGTAATTGGCGCTCATGTTCTTAATAAATACTTTTATTTTAATTTAAATTTATTAATAATTTATTGTTTAATAGAGTAGCCAGTAAGCCCCCTGGGGCATTGGGTGATAGGCACTTGTGTTGTTAGTTAATAATTATTTACTTATCAGAGTGGCCAGTAAGCACCCTAAGTCATCGGGTGATAGGCGCTCGTGTTATTAGTTAATAATTTATTATTTAACAGAGTGGCCAGCGTGTGCCACGGGTCATTGGGTTATAGGCGCAAAACGTTTTGAACGCGATGCAACTTTTACACAAGATCTATTACCATCCCTGCTTGGGGTCAGTTAATCCAAGTCACGCCCAAATCAGCGTGCCGTTTCACTGCCAAGTTTGGACTAATATTGGGATCTTAATAAACAAGTTCAGACTTGACCACTCCCTTATTTTAATTTCCGATCGAGAATATTGAAAAGCAAGAAGCTGATCATTCTAAAGTAAAACAGCTACCTGTTTTATAATTTTTTTGCTTTCTAAGCCAGGAAAACTGTTACCTACACTGGGACACCTATTTAAAATACACGAGACTTGTTCGATTCAAGTACTCCGAGCGACCCAAGACTGTAACTATAGATTTACACCTCAATGACTTTTGGGTCGCTCGGAGCACTCGGCTTGCACTTGGATCGAACAAGTCTACGGTCATTTTACCTCGTGCAGGTTATGTAAATCATTTTTGAATTCAAACTTAACTCAGAAACTAATTGCAGCTTTAAATTGCAGAATTAAAATGACAGAGTTTTACACACTGTATTTCACCGCATAAGTTGAGATTTTTACAGTTTTTTCAGTGTCCCACTCAAGGTATTTAGAATTTTCTCATGTCTTTAAGTGAAACATTTAAAAATACAACTATAATTTTTATGATTTTACAATATTAATTTTAGAAACTTCTGAGTTTCATACATAGTTGGTGGTACACTCAATGTTAGAAAAATATTGGTTTTGTAAAAGTTACTCGTGGTAAATTAATAATTAATACTTTATTTTGCTTCCCCACATTAGGTAAGACTTTTATCGATGTCTCAGTATTACTAGTTTCACCTTACGGGTTAAATGGATTATGAGCATGTCTGCTTACCTTGCTGAGCATCGGAAAAGCGGCCACTTTCAGCAAGCCAATTAGCGTAAGGCCCATAGACTCGTGGTTTTAGCTGTGGGTTGCGCTCTGCGAGCTCCAAAGCCTCACTCCAAGCCTGTGCATTGACGAGGATATCCGCTACGTCAGGCTCGTCACCTAACCGAGAAAAGACTTCAGCAGAAGCGTGACTAGCACCCAACTGACGCAGTCGTTGGGCAATCCTGCTTAAAGTCTCACGATCAGCTCGGTCAAGCTCACGACCCAATTTCAGTAGTAAGTCAATCCAGCCGTACTCTACAGCAATGCAAACAGCGCTCTGAGGATCTCCTGCTGCAAAAAACATTTCCGCAGCTGCACGAGGCTCACCCATACTACGTGCCCATTCAGCTTGACGACGCAGAAGTGATCCTTTTTCACAATTTCTCGAAAAATCAGTTAGCTCTTGTGCTGCATCAAACATTCTTAGATCAACGTACATATCGACAGCTTGCCGTTGTAGTCCAGCACGTTGATAGAGCCGTGCAGCCTCACGGTAACGTCCAAGAGCTGCGCAGCTAACCGCTTGACAAGTCTCAATGCTCAAGTCTCCTGAGCGTAATTTCTCATCCAGATCAATCACCACTTGAACCAATCGCAGGTTCCACGTGCACGAAAATGCCTCACGAGCTACAGTCAGCTTAAGCTGATTGAGTGCTGCGACTCCTAGCCCTAGCCAATCGGCTTCAGCCACTCCAAGATAAGCGACTGTCAGTGCCGTCTGAAACATTTCAGCCTCCAGAAACTGGTACATCATTGAAGACAGCGGCATCTAAATTTGTTTTAATTATTATTTTGGTATCCACTGCTAATTAACTATTATTTTTTTTAATTTACATAAAAGAAAAAATTAAAAAAAAGATAACATGTGCTCTTAACAAATTCTTTAAGGCATTGAATTCTGTTTCTATGTAGATGCCAAAAATTATTGCATCACCCCAAAACCTTCTGCAAGTATCATGAATTTTATCTCTTTATATATATATATGTATATTTTGTGTATTTTGTGCCCATAGTAAGTAAATGAACACATTGTACATGTACACTCTATGTATAGTTTTAAAGTTCTAAGATGAAAATCATTTATAAAGTTTTTTTGTTAAATGCACTTATTACACATAAACTTTTCTGATATATAGTGTTGAAACTTCGTGATTATATTAATCATACCTTAAAAATATTTTTCACAAAATTTTATGTATCGTTTCACCACTAAGTACATCGTTTGTTATGTACTTGAATTTTTTAAATCTCAATTGAAAATGTAACCATGTAGAGGAATCACATAAAATTGTATGAATAAGGAAATGATTTGCAAGAATCTCTTAACATTTTTTTTTATGATTAAATACTGTTGGATAAAGGTCATGATGAATTTAAAAATTAATTCACAAGTTGCTTTTTCAGTAAAATAAGAAAGAAAGAGTCGAATATGCGCAAATGCATACGTTATCACAGAAATGCCGGATTATGGGGTAGGCAGAGTAGGCGCTGCCTATGGACCCCTGCCAAAAAAAAATGAAAAAATTTGAATGACAAACTAGAGGAAATCAACTGCAAAATGTATAATATTCTAAAAATTTTATTGAAGGAAATTCATCCTAGTATCATACTACCTTACCGTGTTTAGTAATTACTAAGTTCTTATAACATTTGTTACGTGATTCAGAAAATAATCAGCATAAATTAAATAAAAGTAAACGTACAAATTTTTTTAACCTCCTTTATATAAATAAATCTTATTTTTATCTCTAAAAACGTGAGTTTTTACCCATGAACGCTACGCTTAAATTTTCTCACAACATAATATTTATTGTCAGTCCGTGTAATACATTAAAGTTTTTCAATACTAGTTTCGAATAATAATCAAACCATGGATTATCATAGATCGATTGTCAAAAATTGAAAGAAAAACAAGATAAGCAAAAAAAAAGAAGACACTGTACTAGCTCAAGTACATAAAATAATGATTTTTTTCGCACTGAACAACGGAGCGTCAAAGTACCAATGGATTCTTTGAATATTAATAAAATCTTGAAAAACGTCATAAAAAACAACAATCAGTATTGTAAGTAATAAAAGTTGTTACGTTCAAGCAAAAAATGCTTGACGAACGCGGGGATCTTCATATCAATTGTTCGGGAATTACTGAGGATCAATAAACTGTTGAGTGGTAGTAGTTTCAATAGCGTTTATTTAATAGCGTATGTATTTACAATAGCGGTTAGCGGAGCTCAGAGCGCAATTGATGTTGGCTCTTTGCTTGTTGAGACGTATCTAGTTTTTATTACAATAATAGCGGAGAGAATAACTAAAACTAACTATACAAATATACACTGTAGTCGTTATATAAGTCAGAGTAGAAAAAGAGATAAGATAAGAAAATATAAGTTCTGAAATTAAAGTATGTATAAATGTAAAGTGAAAGTTATAAAATTGATAAGTGTTACTTTTAGATGATAAAGCAAAGATAAAGCTATTACAATTCCAGGAAATATAACTATTGCATTTAACGTATTGTGCTAAAGAAAATTAGAAAATGAAAAGAGAATTAAAAGTTCACGATTGGCGTGAACAAAAGTGTTTGGGGAGTAAAGTATGGTTCTAAATATAAGCAGTAATTTTGTGTACTAGTCCTTGGTGCATTGTCATAATATTATCCCTAATCATATCATTGTCATAACTCTAGAATCAAAGAGCACGAATTAAGATTCAATTAATCATAAGAATGTGATAACAATCTTAAACCAGTTAAAGAACGTGCGTAGAGTCCGTCAATTTGCAGTTAACGAATCAAATTCAAGAGGAAGTAGAGTATTGGTGAAATATTTTGAGACGCGTTGTTGCCGTGATAAAATCATTAGTTTCTCGAGGCTAATTGGCTTTCAGAAGGTTAGATGAGCAGTTTAATTTTCTCTATAATGACAAGCCAATCGCCAACTCAACCCTGAATGTATCCTACATTGATTAATTAACAATAATTATTAGATATGTGACGTCCTTAAGAGTACCTATTCAACGTTTTGTTAGGTTCATTCTTAATACAGGGCACAAAGCTGAGCAGCTTACAAAAAATATAGTCAAAACTTTAAAAGCTCTCGATTTAGATATTAAGTTGTGCTGAGGTCAGTCTTACGATAATGCGAGCAAATAAGTTGCATTGATTGTTTCTTTAAACAAAATACGAAGTCTAAATACTTTCCAATTTTATGAAGAGAAAGTCTTTAAAATGTGTCGTATAAAAATATATGAAAAAAATAATAAGACAAGACGCAAGCGTAACGCTTCTTCTGAAAAATTCCTACACAACTCAGGGTGTTACATTGCAGCTTCCGGGACCTGTAAAATACAAAGGGGGAAAGGGGTCTGGGTCAAAAGTGCAGGGAAGCTGGTTACTACGAGTTCTCTTACTTCACTTTCTTGCTCTCCTCTCTCTATCTGCTCTGCTCACTCGTCCTCTTGTCCCTGGAATTCTAATCAAAAGGGGGGGGGCTTTCACGCAGCAACAAAAGGGGGGGATGGGGGAGGAAATTCGTCCTTTTCTAAGGGACGAAGAATAATGCGTAAACGTCAAATATAACTTTACTCTTATTTATTGAAAACACTCTTATCTCGGAACGCGTAAAAAAGGGGCCACGCTACAGCCATCCGCGCCGCATGCGGGTGCAGCGAGCGCGCGCTCAATCCGCTGTCTTGTCCTCACTTTACCTCCTGTCCTCTCTCGCTTCGTCTCTCTCACTCCCACTTCTCTGCACACACCCTCTCTCTCTCTTTCGTCTTCACACTCGGCCCATCCGCACTCGTCCTCTCTCTCTCTCTCTCTCTCTCTCTCTCCTCATTTACCTGTCACCCTCTTCACGCTTCGTTTCTCTCTCTCTCTCTCTCCACGTGCACTACCCTTCTACACGGTCACGGCCCACCCACACTCTCTCCACTCGTCCTCTACCTGCCTCGTGCCCTCTTTTCGTTCTATGGTCGCGCTTTTTGTTCACTACTACATTCACACACACACTCTCACTCTCTCCTTCACACTTGAGTCTGGCGAGCCCGCGCGTACGAAAATACCAAGGCACGCTACCTTCCTTGTCGACCTTTGGTAGTCCTGGGGGGGGGGGCGACGTGGTCCGGTGCGTGGCCAAGGACGTTCGGTGGCCTCAAATAGGCGGTGGGTAGACTCTGCTCTCAGTGCGCTCTCGTCCTCTACTTCCCTGACTCCCTGGAGGCCACCAGCTGGTGGACCCACGGCTCGCCTCGTCGTCGTCGTCGAATCTCTCTCTCTCTCTCTTCACCCACCACGCTTCCTATCCACGTCTCTCCAAACTTCTCCCTACTCTCTCTCGTCCTCTACCTTTTCTCCACGGACTCACTCTCTCCACCTCCTCTACACCCAGAAAACTCTCCGCAAACTCTCCAAGAACACACCAAAAAAAAAACGCGCGAGAAAAACCGTCAACCACAAGCGCACGCTGGCTCAACAGGCAAATCCCGACTGACTCCTCCTGCGCATCTCGCATACGTAGGATGCGCCGCTGTGCCGCAAAGTCCACGCATCTTCTCTCGCAATCGTATCGGTCAAACGGCCTAAAAGCATGCTGGCAGGGCTCGAGCGCTCACTCGTTGAGAGTCGCTCCTTGTCGTCGTGCTGTCTATGCTGCTGCTACCTCGTCGTCGACACGTCGGCCGGAGTTCGACAGAGGCTCATCTGAAGCCGATAAATAACGGTCAAGCCTTTTCCGACGAACCTAATAATAAAAAAAAAATAATAATAAAGAAAAAGAAGCATACNTAACGGTCAAGCCTTTTCCGACGAACCTAATAAAAAAAAAAAATAATAATAAAGAAAAAGAAGCATACTCACGTGGGCCTTGCGGCCAGGGGTCTGTTGGGTCTGGGGAGGTCGTCCCGCGGGATTGCTGGTCGTCAAGAGCCACTCCTTCCTTGACTTGTTGTCCTCGTCGTTCAGTCCACTCCTTCTGATATTCGAGTCCTAGTCCGCATGTCCGGGTGTCCTGACAGTCCGGGAAATCAGATAGAGAGGGGTAAGAGACCTACTCATCTGGCTCTGCCTGGAAGGCCCGGCGAAGAACGAACTCCCGTAGCTCTGGAGAACAGTCCTGCAAGTTCCCCCACACACGTTCCAGCTGTTGCATTCGCTCGCGTGGCCAGCTTGAGCCATCTGGAGACCGCCTTTCTCGATCTCGCTGGTCCTGAGGGTCCCTAGCTGTTGGTCGTTCGGACGCTGCTCGAGAGAGCTGCACGGTGGGGTTCACCAGAGCTGTATCTCGGTCGTTTCGCCTGAAATCATCACCGGGCCCCGAGATGACCGTAGCGGGTCGGTTTCTCGGCAGCCAAGCCCGCAGATCGGTCTCGGCCTGATTCAGCGCATTTTCGGGGCGCGGCCGTGAGGCCTCCTGACTCCAAGCAGTGTAACGGCCGTATCCCTCTCTGCAGCAAGGGCAATCTCGCACAGTCACATCCAATCGGTCGCAGTTGAGGCAGTGGGTATTCGCCCTAGGTTTGGAGCTGTCCTTGGCTTGGTGCCCTTGAGTCCAGCAATTAAAGCAGGCCCTTGCCGGCGGGTCCAACAGCGGTTCAGTGAGGATGGCTCGTAACCCAGAGAATAACACCCCCGTCATTCGGGGCTGCCTCTCGTGCCTTCGGAGGGGGGAATCTTGGGGTGAGCGATCCCGAGGGTTTGTCGCAGTCCTTTGTGGGCGGATCAGAGCTCCCGCTTCCGAGAGATCATCTCGGGGTTCGTCAGGCTCCTTTCCC